CCATATTTAATTTTTTTTTCTTTTTAAATCTTTATTATTGAGAGTATTACAGGACCCTACTATCCTGTTTATAGGTAAGATCTTTGGTTATCTCTTCCACACCCACTCCCTCTTTCCTCTGAGATTCATCAGTCCATTCCATGCTTCTGTGCCTCTGATTATATTTTATTCACCAGTTTATTTCGTTCATTAGATTTATTGTTCATTTTGATTTTTAGATTAGATTGTTGATAGATAAAATATATGAACAATATATTTTCTTCCTCCTTCCTTCCCCCCCCCCCCCCCCCCCTTTCCTCCCCCCTCCTCTTTTTTTTTTTTTTTGCTGAAGCTGCATGGAGAATGGTCCTGGGCGTGGAAAGGACATTAAGTTGCACTGTTGGCGTTTGCAGGGCTCTGTGTGGTTTCGCTGACCTCTGACTTTTTATATTGGTGCAATTCCGTACTGTGCTACTCACTTTGGGTCCTGCTGTGTGTGGATATAAGAGGTTCTGGCATAATTAAACCCCCAGGCCAGGCTGTGGGACCAGCTGCAGCTACAGTGGAGAGCTGCTGTGCAGGAAACACCCCTATGCAGCAGGACTTGCTAGTGGGGCTTTGGTGCTCACTGAGTCTGCCTCTCGGGTGTGTCGCATGTGGGTGTGTAGAGTTGTAATCTACTGTGGTCTAAGGCTGTCCACTGGGTGCCACTGCCTGGGGCCACCCAGCAGGAACTACAGAGAGATCTGCTATCTGTATTGGGCTTAGAGATGCCCAGGAAAGGCCTGACCAGGCCAGCTGTGGGACAAGGTGGGCTGGTGCTAATGCTGGGTCTTGGGCCTTTTGTTGATAGCTTTGACACCAGCTGCTGCTTGTTTGAGAGATTTGTTTGGGAGATTTTAGCAAAGTCTGAAGCCTGAGCCAGGACAGGCCATTGATTTGGAAAAGCAGCTGCAAATTGGTTGGGGTCTCAGGGAATCCCCAAGGCAGAGCAAACAGTGTGCTGACTGAGACTCAGTTACGGCTGCCAGTCAGCCCTGTGAGAGGGGAGGTCCCAGCACAGGAACAGTGACCACTGTGAGCACCCCTGTCTGGGAAAGAGCCGCCCCCGAGTTCCTGCCACCATGCCAGACAATCCAGTTCCTCCCCATGTATCTGGTTCCCCAGCGCTGGAGCTTGGAAGAAGTGGGACCCTGTAAGTGTGTGCACGAGCCCTTTAAGGGGAACCCCTGGGATCCCAGCAGTCTCCTTGTCACTTAGCCACAATCCCCCTGCTTTTTACAGCCTGTAGTTGCGTGGACTTCTCTTCCCAGCTCTGGAACCCTAGGCTGGGACCCCTTGCTCCTCACTGGCAGCCTCCATAGAGACATCTCCCTCCCAATTAAAAAAACACAACGGCACACGTGGCTGTCGAACCAGCCCGTTCCGCCGCTCCTACCAGTCTCGGTGCTTTCTTCATTTCTCTAGTTGTAGGACTTCTGTTCAGCCACCTTTCGGACAGTTCTGCATGGTGGTTGCTCTGTATTTTAGTTGTCATGTTGCTGTGGTTGCGGGAGGCTGCGAGTATGGGTGTTTACCTATGCAGCCATCTTGGTTCGCTCTTCATTTATTTTCTTGTTCTTAAAGCAAATGTGCTCTCTGGGGCATCTGTCCCATTTTTCATTTTTTTAAGAAACTCCATACTGTTTTTTTTATAATGGCTGCACTAATCTGCATTCCCACCAGCAGTGTACTAGGGTTCCCTTTTCTTTACAACTTTGCCAGTACTTGTCATTTGTTGATGGTAACCATTCTGACAGGTGTTTTAATTTGTCGTTTTAATTTGCATCTCTCTGATGATCAATGACTTTGAGGATTTTTTTATATGTCTCTTGGCCATCTGTATGTCCACTTTTGAGAAGTGTCTATTTAGGTCCTTTGCCCATTTTTTAATTGGATTGTCTGTCTTCCTTTAGTTAAGTTGAATGAGTTTCTTTTATATTTTGGATATTAACCTTTATCAGATGTATAATTGGCTAATATGTTCTCCCATACAGTAGGCTCCCTGTTTATTTTGTTGATAGTTTCTTTTTGCTGTGCAGAAAATTTTTATTTTGATGTAATCCCATTTGTTTATTTTCTCCTTAGTTTCTTTTGCCCTAAGAGATGTATCCATAAACACATTGCTATGAGAAATGTCAGAGACTTTGCTGCTATGGCTTCTCCTAGGGCTTTTATTGTTTCACGTCTTACATTTAAGTTATCCATTTTAAGTTTATTCTAGTGTATGTTATAAGTTGGTGGTCTAGTTTCATATTTTTGCATGTACCAGTCCAATTTTCCCAGCGCCATTTACTGAAGAGACTGTCTTGACTCCATTGTATGCTCTTCATTCCTTTATCAAATATTAATTGAATGTAATGGCTTGGGTCGATTTCTGGGGTGTCTGTTCTGTTCCATTGATCTATATATCTGTTCTTGTTCCAGTAGCAGGCTGTTTTGATTACAGTGGCTTAGTAATATAACTTGATATCTGGTATTGTGATCCCTCCAACTTGGTTTTTTCTTAAGATTGCTATGGCTATTTCGGGATTTTTGGTTCCATATAAGTTTTTGGAGTATTTATTTTAGATCTGTGAAATATGCCATTGGTAATTTAATAGGGATTGCATTGAATCTATAGATTGCTTTGGGTGGTATGGACATTTTAATGATGTTAATTCTATCAATCCATGAACATGGTATAGTCTTCCATTTCTTTATATCTTCCTCTATCTCTTTTTTCAATGTCCTGTAGTTTTCAGAGTACAAGTCTTTTTGGTTGCTATAGTAAATAGGGTTGTTTGTTTTCTTTCTCTTTCTGAGAATTCATTATTGATATAAAAAAATGCCATTGATTTCTGAGTGTTAACTTTGTATCCTGCTACATTGCCAAAATCATTTTATTAAATCTAGTATTTTTTTGGTGGAGTCTTTAGGGTGTCAATATCATGTCATCTACAAATAATGAGAGTTTTAATTTCTTCTGTCTAATATGGATGCCATTTATGTTTTCTTCTTGTCTGACCGCTTTTTCTAGCATTTCCGGTGTTATGTTGAATAAGAGTGGTGAAAGGGGGTACCCCTGTCTTGTTCCTATTCTTAGTAGAAATGGTTTTAATTTTTGCCCATTGAGTATGATGTTGGCTGTAGGTTTGTCATATATAGCCTTTATTTATTATGTTGAGGTATGATCCCTCTATTCCCAGCTGTCCTGTTTTTTAATTTTTTTTTTCCTTTTTGGTTCTTTGATTGAGTGATTTTTTTTCTACCCTGTCTTCTAATTCACTGATCCAATCCTCGGTTCCCCTAATCTGCTGTGTGTTCCTCCCCACTGTGTTCCTTATTAGTGTTATGTTATTCTTCATAGTTACTGTATTTTTTCTCATGCTGTTGAGCATCTTTGCCATCATTATTCTGAACTGTATGTCTGATAAATTTCTTATTTCCATTTCATTTAGCTTTTCTTCTGGAGAATTCTCTTTGTTCTTTCATTTGGGGCTTGTTTGAGGGGCTGCCTATTTGGGTTTGTGTCTGTGTATTAGATAGATCTACTATGCCTCCCAAGCTGTAATGTAAGACAGTGTCAGATGCTGTTTCTAACTGCCCCTGAGTACCCTGTTTGCAGCTATCAGCAATCCACAGCTTGTGGTTCCCTATGTTGGGGCTGGGTGCCTTTGGAAAGGACCAAGATGTGCACCAAGATCTGCTTTTCCTAGCCCTGGGCCCAAATTAGATCAGGCAAAGACTCAAAGCCTGCAGAGTTCCATGTCTGCCTGCATTCTGATTGTATTCAGTCTTGATTAGCCTCTGGCTATAGACCACACTGTGGGGTAAGAGGTTTTCCAACAGGATGGGGCAATTACTTCTGCCTGCAGGTGGATTGTTATTCTTAGTCTCTTAATGGGTCTTAGAAACTCCACAGGAAGGGGGGTAAGGGGTTTTCCCAATAGAGTGGGGCAACTGTCTTTTCCCAAGCAAAACCACCTAGATCCCAAAGGTCCACTGGAGAAAGATGTCCTCTCTTCAGCGTGAGGGAATGACTCAGCACAGCACATGAAACCAGGGTGTCTGCCTTCTGATGTCTAACCCTAGAGCCCCCAACCCTGGCTTCTGCTCACACAACTCCAGTCCACTCTGCCAAGGTGAGTGGCTGCCCCCAAAATTTTGTGCATTGGCTCTTTATGAGTGTGCCAGCATTTCCAGTCATCTATTGCTGGCAGACAGCAGTCCTGCTGCTTTTTATAGCCAGATGTTATGTGAGCAACTTTCTCAGGTCTAGTGCTCTGTGAAAGGGAGCCCAGCTTGTGCTGTAGGCCCCAGAGTTCTCAGTGGGAACCCCCACAGCTGCTGTCTATGGGAGCCCCGCCAACCCTCCTTTTGTGCCTCCACACTTCCTATCAGTCTCTGTTTGGTCTCTGCTTTCTTTCTTTTCTTTTTTTTCTAAATATATTTTTATTGATTTCAGAGAGGAAGGGAGAGGGAGAGAGAGTCAGAAACATCAATGATGAGATAGAATAGTTGATTGGCTGCCTCCTGCATGCCCCACAGTAGGGATCAAGCCCGCAACCCAGGCATGTGCCCTTGACCAGAATCAAACCTGGGACCCTTCAGTCCACAGGCCAATGCTCCATCTACTGAGCCAAACCAGCGAGGACCAGTCTACACTTTCTGTCCTTGGTTATCAGGGTTCTCTCCAGATTTTCTGTATTTTTGTTGTAATTCCAGTTTGGTCCTGGGAGTGTGTCAGTGTAGCTTCCACTTATGTTGCCACCGTTTTTGGAATCCACTGTTTTTATTGATTTGAGAGAGGGAAGGAGAGAGAGAGAGAAAGACACATCACTGTGATAGAGAAACATCGATTGTTTGCCTCCCATATGCACCCTGACTGGGAATGGAATCCAAAACTTTTTGGTGCAGGGGAGGACACTCAACCAACGGAGCCACCTGGCCAAGGAAAGTTGGCCTTCTTTGAAACAAAACCTTCTCACTTTGTTTTGTAGGACCACCATGAGGCCTCAGACCTTCTATGATGGGAGTCACTCCTGTGCCAGAGGAGTGTGCCACATCCCAATGGCTGAGCCGTTCTGCCCCAAAACGAGAGAGGTTTGTAATCTGTCTGGAAAGTACACTAAAATAAATTGTAAGGGCTTGGGTTGGCATTTAGAGTTAGGTTAATGTATACTAATAAAAGGGTAATATGCTAATTTGACTGGATGTCTTCTGGATGACCATCCGGACATCCTGACAAAGCCGGGCCCAGGTGAAGCCGCCTGCCCCTGCAGCCAGCCAGACGGAGGGAAGTCCGGGTCCCGGGTGACTGCAGACGGCTGGAGGAAGAAATCCTGGGTCCCGGGTGCAGGGCCAAGGCAGAGGCGGTTAGGGGCAATCAGGCAGGCAGGCAGGTGAGTGGTTAGGAGCCAGCAGTCTCTGATTGCGAGAGGCATTCCGGACATCCCCCGAGGGTTCCCGGATTGGAGAGGGTGCAGGCCAGGCTGAGGGGACACCCCGCTCCCCCATGCACAAAATTCACTGGGCCTCACTAATAAGCACATGGTCCCTCTTTCTCTCAAGTTTACATCCTATGCGAGGTTTTTGTGAAAGTTGTTTCCCTTTGCTAATAATGCTTTCACTACTGTCAGTCATTTGTAAGCTGAATCACTCAAAGTAGCAACCTACCTTCTTTATAAGTTTTGATTTTGCTGTCAGGATACTTTTTAAATAATTTAGTGTAGACTAGCATATTAGTCAAGAGTATATAGTCTGGAACCAGCTGAATGACTAACATGTGTAGGTATTTATATTCTGTATATTAATTTAAAAATTGATCTCACTAGCTAGTACATCACTGACAATGCTTCTAATCTGTTGTGTTGCACCTGAATTCCAAACCTGGAATATATGAAAAATACCATGCATGGAGCAAGAGATGGACTTTTGAATTGTGATAGCCATTTTTATTCTCTGAGGGCTAAGGCCTGATGCCGACTTCTGTGGGGCTGCCCGCTTTGTTCGGAGATTTTACTCTAATCCCAGAGAGAAGGCTGGAGAGTAATGGCCAAACTCAGCTCAAACGTAAATGATGACAACCTGACAATGTATAGAACAGCAATGATAATAATTTGATTCATAAATGCAGTTACCAGTCATTGGACGTTTCTATACTAATATACATTTCTAGGTATTAACTCTTTTACCCCCCACACAGTCCTACAATGTATATGTGATTATTACCTTCATTTTACAAATGAGAAAACTGAAGCTTGGAGGTGTTAAGTAACTTTTCCAATGACACACAGCTATTATGCTGAAGAGCAGAGAAAGTAAACTAATTTTAACACCTGCATATGCAAAGCAGCTTTTATATTCACCCCTGCATAACCATGTAAAACCAGTTGCCATGTAGTCAACGGCATCTTAACCTCACCCTACTCTAAAAAAACCCACAAACAACAAAATCTAGAATGCACGGTAAGGGTTTGCGGGGAGCCATTTGAGGTGTACCACTGTACATTCTCTCTGAGTTCTGTGAAAATACATGTTTTACTTGTTTAAAATAAGTGGCAGGTTCAGTGTGTATGTATGTATTTAAATGGATATGTTTCTGGGTAGTTATCAGCAGAATATATCAGAATGCTGCCAGTCTTCCCTCTGAAACATGGATCTACCCACACAATAAATTTGCTCTCCAGCAGAAACTAGATGTGTGTAAAATTCTTGTCCATTTCGCCCTAGCTGGTTTGGCTCGGTGGATTGAGTGTCAGCCTGCGGACCCAAAGGTCCCAAGTTTGATTCCAGTCAAGGGCACATGCCTGGGTTGCAGGCTCGGTCCAACATGCAGGAGGCAGCCAATCAATGATTCCCTCTGATCATTGATGTTTCTATCTCTCTTTTCTTCTCCCTTCCTCTCTGAAATAAATAATAATATTTTTAAAAAAAATTCTTGTCCATTTCAAAATGGGGGCAGTTTGGGAAGGAATACGGTAGACTAGGGAGAGAGTGTAGGAGATCGAAGATCTTTTCGAAGGCAGAAAATAGTAACGTACAGTAATATTAGGGGTAGAAGTGGGCGGTGGAAGTGCTAGTGATGCATACAGAGCACATGTAAATGTGGTGGCTGGTGGAAGTTGCCAGTAGTAGAACGTGGCCTCCCTTGTACATTTGTGTTAAAATGTGTATAAATATGTAAGGAGATGAATATGAGAATATTTATGTGCGAAAAGAGTGTTTCCCTTGGGAAGGTGAACTGCGTCATGGGGGCATGGGTGGAAGAATAATGCCATTTTGTTTCCTGCAGATGTTACCTATTCCAAAATAAGTGTCACTTCTAGTCATTTTAGGAGGTGATTTGATAGATACTCCGAGAGTTTTGACTCATGAAATGTATTTTGCCTGGTGATCTGATATTGCTAATATTTTAGAGACAAGGATGATAGATTCAGGAGTTCCATTATGATAACTTGAGACATGGAAATGAGAGCAGCTTAACCTCAGACCCAGAAATCTCTCAGCTTGACTTTTGTGTTTCTGACACCTTAGGGTGTTGGTGCAAAGTGGTGGTTCAAGCAGAGAGGCCCCAGTGCACATCCAGGAGCCTCTGGGTCCTTCTCCTCCCATCACGGCCCCCACCTCCCAGGGTGATGGCGAGGACCTCTTGCCTCAGCCGTTGGTAGCTATGATCTTCCTCCACTGATCTCTAGAAGCGCTCTAGGTTGGCTGAGACAGACAGCTCGGTTATTTGGGATTTTAAAAGACATTTAATGAAGACAGGGCAGTGCTTGTTATATAACTTTTTTTTAATCCTCACCCAAGGATATGTTTTTATTGATGGGAGAGGGAGAGGGGGAAGGAGAGACAGACAGACAGAAACATCAGTGTGAGAGAGAAACATTGATTAGTTCCCTCCCATACGTGCCTGGACTAGGGATTGAACCCACAACCTTTTTCATGTACAGGATGACACTCCAGCCAACTGAGCCACCCGACCAGGGCTGGTTATAAATTAATTTTGAAAAAAGGAGGGGAGGCATGATTTAGGCCCCTGCATTTATAACCTTTACTCTTTGGGGAAAAGCTTTGGTTACGCATAGTCTTATTTTTAGCACATATAGAATAAAGAAACATGAAGTAGCATCAACTATTCATTGTCTGTGGCTTGTCGTGGTTCTAAATTTGGAATTACCAAAGCTCTTGTTAAAATTTTTTCTCCCATTGTCATAGCATAGCATAAGTTGTTTTTTAAGGAAATGGATTAATTTACTTATGTGGTTCAGACATGAGCAGGCAAGATTTTCCCTAGATTGGAGCCTTCTATTGAGCGTGAGTCACTGCATTTTATATATATACAAATTCGTGCACAGGTGGGATCAGGCTGGGCCAGCCCGGGGGAGGGGCTGCGGGCGGTTGGTGGGCCGGCCCTTCCCCCTGGTTGAACTCCGGTCGAGGGGACAATTTGCATATTAGCTTTTTATTATATAGGATGGTATCTTAGGAAGCTTTGCCAATTATTTGGTGAACCTATAGAAGCTGCCAATACAATAAATCCTCACTTAACCTTGTCCACAGGTTCTTGGAAACTGTGTCTTTATGCAAAATGATATATAACTAAACCAATTTTACCTTAGGCTGAGATAGACAAGAGTTAAGTCCTTGTGGCATATTTCCAGTGACAGAAACATCACCAAACTTCTAAATATAAAGATCCCCAAAACTCTTCTAATATTAAACATTGAAATAAATGTGAGCTATACATACATTTAAGGAAGGTGAATGAAAACAAGTAAGATAGTTATTTTCCAGCCCATTTATTCTCGATCAGGATCATAGGTGGCCAGAGCTTATCTGAGCAGCTCAGGGCACCAGGCGGGGCCCACTCTGGACTGGATGCCCTTTCATCGCAGGGTGCACTCACAGGCACCCACACTCACGCTGGGACAATGTAGATACAACCTAAACTCACATCTTCGGGATGTAGGAGGAAACCTGAGTCCTTAGAGAAAACCCATGCAGAGATGGAGAGAGCAAACACACTCCACCCAGACAGTGGCCCATTGGGAATCGATCTTTTTTCCTCTTCAGTGTTATAATGAAACAACATTGTTCGGGGACCTGCTGTGCTTCTAATAGAAAGAAGACCAGTTTAGCATTTATATGTTTACAGTGTCTCTGACACAATTCTGTGCTGTATATCCTTAGCTCATTTAATCCTCACACTATCTCTTGAGTTATATACAGTATTATTATTCCATTTTACAGGTGAGAAAACTACGACAAAGGTTAAGTGCATTTTCAGCAGTCCTCAATTAACAGTTAAGTTTAAAAGACTAATTTTTTTCTTTTTTTAATTAGAAAGGAATGTTGAAGCACAGGCTAAGGTACATCTATCCCTGGACAGAAAATAATCAGCATGGGCCCATTCTGTTTTTACTGTATGTCCTTGCAGAGGCAACAGGCAAAAGAGATTATAGAGTAATTACTTTCTAACTAAAAAAAAAAAAAAGCTTTTACAGAAGTCTGCAGACTTTTCACAAAAGAGCAAAGAGAATGAATTTCTCAGGAGCCTAGAAACGGTTGTCCGCACATCTCTCTGAGAAGATGTGATGAGGGGCGCCACCTGCGCTGAGCCTGGAGATTAAAAGCTCCGTCTCAAGTCCTTGCTCACACCCCAGCTTTGTTGCTTCAAGCTGTGAAGAAGTACATGCGATGAAAACTTGTAAACACATTCCTGGTGCGTAGGAAAAGCTCACTGTAGCTGTGAGCTGTATGTGCAGGGGCGGGGGACACAGGATGTGCGCGTGGTTGAGGGTCTGGGAAACTGTGACGCTCCCAGGTTCTCTCTGAGGGTCGGCAGCTACTAGGTTTTTATAATAAAGATCTTTAACTACTCAACCTTTTACATTTCAGGGGAAAATAAAATAGTAAGCTGGACTTAGGTGTGCATGTTTTGCGTTTGTGGTTCCTTCTCTTCTAGGTCCTGACAGAGACTGCTAAGAAGCTAGGACTCCGGTACCACTCCAAAGGGACCATGCTCACGATTGAAGGACCACGCTTTAGTTCACGGGCAGAGAGCATCATGTTTCGCACCTGGGGGGCAGATGTTATCAACATGACCACAGTTCCAGAGGTGGTTCTTGCTAAGGAGGCTGGACTTTGCTATGCAAGTATCGCCATGGCAACAGATTATGATTGCTGGAAGGAGCACGAGGAAGTGGTAGGTGGAATTCTCTCCAGAGCACGTATGGCCTGACTTGCCAGGTGCCATGAGCCCCGGTAAGAAAGGATCTTCACTATGTGTTTCTATTGCATTCTTTCCAGAAAGTACCTTTCTTCCAGGTTTTAAAGTCAACTTTTAATACATCGTCGTTAAGTATTACCAGATATTTTCTATAGTTGACTTTGGAAAGTAAGGATCAGGATCTTCAGAGCAAAGAAAAAAACACTTTTATCCAAGGATTAGCAATGAACTGTACATTGTAGGCATGCTGGGAATCATGTTGAGATTTGGGCCTTATTTTAAGGATCAAGGTCCTGGTTGTAATTTCCTTGGGCTGTGCTACTGTTTGTGCTCTTTTTTTTTTTTTTTTTTTTTAAAGGAAAAAAACTTAACTGTTTCTTAATATCTTTTTGGTAAGTGGGCTCTATTCATAGCTATCTGTTTACCCTACCGTGACTGGATACCATGCTTGGTGTGGGAGTAACCAAAACAAGTTGGTAAGGAGCCAGCATTCTGTGGTTTTCACAGAGATGGGGAGGTGGGTGGTTAGAGGTTAAGCAAAGGAATGTGAGAAAGCTCAGGTGAGATACACATATGAATCCAGTTGACTCAGCCGAGTATTTGCAGTCAGGGAAGCTTCCTTATGTGATGGGAAAGGTGGGCATGCTTGAGTAGAGAGGAGGGGAGGGAGCAAGAAGGAAGCAGAGCTGTGGAGACTGTGTTTCAGATGGGAAGTCAGTAAGAGGTTTTAGGTAATAAAAACGGCGCGGTCCGGCCAGACGGTTGAGGTCAGGCTTCCAGAACAAATACTTTCATTGTGAAAAATTGGGAACATCTCCAAAAGTAGAGAGTCTAGTATAATAAACCCCAGTGACCCATCACCCAGCCTTCCAGGTATCGGCCATGGCCCACTTTGTGTCATACATATGCCCCACCCCTTCTTTCTTCCCTGCCTTCATAAGTAAATAGTTTTTATAAAGGCCTTTTTAAAATATATCTATACTTATAATAGGGTAATATGCCAATTGGTCGGGACACTGTCATGTAATGACCAGTCAGCAGGAGGGCAGGGCAGCGAGCTACATGCAGTGGAGAGCTACGAATGGCGGTGGGCGGGGCGGACAGCTGAGGCAAGCAGCAGCAAGCTACTCACACACGAATTTGTGCACAGGGCCACTAGTGTATATATATATAGTGCATGGTGGAGTGATATTTGTGTGTGTGTGTGTGTATTGATTTTAGAGAGAGGAGGGGAGAGGGATAGAGAGATAGAAACATCGATGAGAGAGAAACATTGACTGGTTGCCTCTTGCATGTCCCCCCACCTCAGGGATCAAACCCACAACCCAGGCATGTGCCCTGCCCAGGAATCAAACCAGTGACCTCTTGGTTCATGGGTCGACACTCAACCACTGAGCCATACTAGCCTGGCTGAGGGCCTCTTTTATAAAAAATAAAATAGTAAAAAACAGCCACAGGACCATTAATGTATAAAACCTATTGATATTAATTTCTTAATATACTCAAGTATTTAGATTGTTCAATTTTTTCCTCTTGTCTCATCATTTCAACTATTCAGAGTCTCTTTTAACCTAATATTTTTCTCTCTTCATCCCTTGCATTTCACTTAAAGAAACTGGATCATTTATTTTAAAATAGAGAAAGGGACAGAACTACAGTCATATGTGTTTATTGATTTCAGAGAGGAAGGGAAAGGAAGAGATAGAAGCATCAATGATGAGAGAGAATCATTGATCAGCTGCGTCCTGCACACCTCCCACTGGGGATCAAGCATGTGCCCTGACCGGGAATTGAACCATGACCTCCTGGTTCATGGGTTGGTGCTAAACCAGTGAGCCACACTGACCAGGCCAGTCAAGGAATTTTGAAGTAAAAAAGTATAAGGGTGGCTGCTCTGAGCACATGTAGGACAGGTGACATCTTCTGCAGGGGGACCCTTCCCACCATCTCAGGGCTGCTTGTTTCACCACTCGGTTTCATGTAAAACAGGAATATTCTTGCTCTCTCTCTGTTCATTTACCTGGATTTTGGGACATAGATGAACACAGGTTCTGTGTCTTGCATGATGCCTTATCCTGACTCTTCAGTGTAATTAACCACGAGGATGCTTTTTAATGTAAGAGATTTGTAAATCCTGCTGCAGCACAATCCCTCTCATCAAAGGGAACTGCTTGGCCTCATGGTCTTAGGAAGCTGCTCCCAATGAATAGAAGACGTCAGTGTCTGCCACTCCCTGAGGACGCATTGTTGCCTGCCTGTGGCTTTCTGCTTGATCCAGGAACATATCTCCCTGCAGAGCTAACGGTGCTTTCCTTCAGTCGACCCCGTGAGGTTTGGAAAGCAGTCAGTTGGAACTACTTCAATTAAAAGTAGAGAAGCTAGGTTTGTGTAAGTGGTAAGTCATGAAGGCAAATAATGTTAAGTGCCACACGAATATATGACAGATAGCATCATCTCAGCCAGCCAGCTGTGTGTGTTGTGCTTCACACCAGATGTGCAGCCTGGCATGATCAAACGGTTTTAGAGTTGCCACGCCACCTTCAAATTCCTGTTCCTCCAATTACTTGTGATACCAAGCCTGTAATTTAACAAGTTACTCTTCTGCGGGATGGAGCCAGGGCTTCAGGGTGAGGGGCGTGAGTTGTTCAGTTACACTTCTGATCTTGCTAGATTACTGGAAGAATTGAGCCAAATGGAATGTGTAGAGCAACTAGTTGAATGCTGGCTCCTAGGAGGTTGGTCACCAGATAGTAGCAGTGATGGCAGTGGGGGTAGAAAGACTACAAAAAATTTGTGAAGGAAACTTGAGAATTGAGCTGGTCCTCCAACAGAGGGTTAGATTTGATCGTGAGGAGGTTAATAGGGAGGCATTTTGGGTGGAGCCCAATAGCAGGACCAAAGAGAACAGAAGTCAGCCTACATAGAAATACCAGTCACAGGAAGTGTAGGGACAAGAGTAAATGTAAGGTAAACCTCTTGCACGCTTTATGACCCTGCATTTCAAGGATCCACTTGAACTGTGCCCGTATGTTGGCCTGACAGGCACCCAGCTGGTCACTGCTCTGTGTTCCCACAGTAACGGGACTCCCTCCGCTGCGGTACTGATCGTTTTGTCTAACCATATCCTGGTGTTTGTGGGAGGGGTCTGGACTTTATACTCCAGGAAACTGAATGAAAGCTGTAATCGCTGTGCCCTGAATCTTGGATTTCTTCTAAGTAGAGTGAAGTGTGACAAGTACTCTTCCTCTAACCGGCCAGTGTATAGTCCACAGCTTTTTCCAGCCTTTCCTTAGGAAGCAATTTTAGTTACGTACAACAGCAGACAATACTATGGGTTTCTGTGAATCCAGCGTCAACCATTATCACATCAACTTATAGCCACTCATATTTCATCTGTACTTTGATCCATAGCTTTGTCCATCAACATGTTAGGATATATCTAACCTAGCCACCTTGTCCTTGTCACATTCCAGCCATAATGCCTTATCATTCCCAGGCAAAGTTCGAGTTTCCAGTTATCTCAGATGATTTCTTCTTCCAAGTTTTCTAAAAAGAAACCAAGTGATTTGACCTGTACTTTCCCACAGTCTGAATTGTTGAAATCATCTCCTCAGGGTAGTTTAACCAGATTCTCTGTCCTCTGTATTTTATGTAAATTAGTAGATGGATCTAGACTTGTGCAGATTCGGGTATCCTACGGAGCGTTTAGTTTTTTCATCAGAAAAGTGGGTTGTTTGTTTGGTTTGGGTTGTGTGTGTGATGTTAGCTGCCCATCCATTAATTCATTGGGAGCTGTTAAAAGAAAATAATGATATTCTGATTTCATCGTTTTTCTTTATTAGCTGGAAGACTTCTCTCGAGAAATGTTTCTTTTTGGACTGGTTGGTGATCCAGTGTAGCAACGGTTTTAGGACTGGGATCCATTCTGTGGACCTGGGGAGAGTAGCCACAGCTTTCTAGAGCTGCTAACACATCACACCTCTGGAGAGAGTTTCTTAGAAATCATGTTGCAAATGGTACTTTTCAGAGGTGTTTGTTTTCTCTAAGACCTCCCCCATGGGACCAAGACCATTTTGATAAATGCAAAACTTGGGCTGGGGTTGAAACTAGAGTCAACTGACTTCACAGATCGGGAAGGAACTTAGGGAAATGTTCCACAAAAAGCAGTGTGATTTTTTTAATTGCTGGAAACATCCTGTGCTGCTGTTTCCCTAGGTTTCGGTGGACAGGGTTTTAAAGACCCTGAAAGAAAATGCCAACAAAGCCAAAAGTTTGCTCCTCACGACCATACCTCAGATAGGTTCCATGGAATGGTCAGAAACCCTCCATAACCTGAAGGTAAGTATCCTGAGCCATCTGCAAGCAGACACTTCCACATCCTCAGCTGCCTTTCCTATTATGTGCATCTCCCCTTGGTGCATCTCCTCCTGTGTTTTATACTAGCCTGGATGTTTTCTGCAAGTTTTCATTCCATTTCCTTCCTTAGTAACCATTTGTGATATTGGGTAGTTAGAGCTGGCTGGTAATGCAAGACCATTGGAAGTTGAGGTGGGAGAGTCCGCCAGATTCTTGACATGGTTCTGCCCTGCAGCGTATCTCTTAAGTCCTACTTCAGAAGATGGATAGCACTGGCTCTTCACGTGGCCTACGTAGCCAAGGAAGTTGTTTTTTCTTTGGCAGATCCATGCAGAGTGGTTGCAGCCTTTTAAGCTAAAACTGACAGAGCAGTAACAAAATGGTGCTGAGGAATATCTGCTTACTCTTCATGTTGCATCTAACTAAGAGTCATTAATGATAAACATCGGGTGGGTTGCAGGTTGGTAACTTTTTATTTTTTTATTTTTATTGGTTTCAGAGAGGAAGAGAGAGGGAGAAAGAGATAGAAATATCAATGATGAGAGAGAATCATTGATCAGCTGCCTCCTACATGCCCCCTTCTGGGGATTGAGCCCACAACCTGGGCATGTGCCCTGACTGGCAATCAAACCGTGGCCTCCTGTTTTATAGGTTGGCGCTCAACCACTGATCCATGCCAATCAGGCGGTAACTTTTCAACTCTAGTATTAACTCCCCGAATATACAGAGTGGGGCAAAAATAGTCTTACAGTTGCTCAGTTGGAAAATAAGGAAATAATTAGTAATAGTACAAGAATAAACTCTGTGTTTTGCATACTCACAACTGTAAGCCTACTTTGTCCCACCCTGTAATTTAAACTGACTGCTACACTCAGACATGTATGATTTTTATTTGGACATGTTGTGACTCTTGATTAACCATATTAGATAAGGAGTTGCCTCAAACTGATCAGATTTTACATTCACCTAATATCCAAAGAGGGTAGCCAGTATGTTCTGAGGTCTCCTAGGACACACCTATACACTTAGGTCTTATGCCTGTAGTTGAGAAAGGATTTGAAAGGTTGATATAAGCCCTCCCTACCCCAATTACCATTGAGGAGCCCTGGAACGAGAGCCATAATTTTAGTGTGATGAGGATGCAATATGGTAGTGAATGATTGATAACCCCTGGGTGTGGGGAAGTCATGATTTATACTGTTTGCCAGTTTATGTGGTGTAAATGCTCCAGTATAGCTGACTTTAAGCTACCAACATGAAGCCACTGATAAGCTGGACAGGATACACGTAGATGGGTCTCGTAAGCTGGTGTGAGCAGGCTCCTGCACACTAGTATAACTAAGGTGCCTTTAGGACTGGCAAAGTCAAGAATATAGAATTTGTAATGTATCTTTCCTACTAGACTTTTAAGTCCATAAGGAACGAGAAACATCAGTTGGTTTCAACCTGTATACCTAGGAAATAAATGTTCTTTAATGAATAAATGATAATCCCTTTCCTCCATGAAGTATTTCATCATATCTATAATAATAAAAGCGTCATATGCTAAGTAGACTGGACAGCCAACGACCTTCTGGACGTCCTTCTGGACATAGCCACAGGGGCAGAGGCAGAGGCGGTTAGGGACAATCAGGCAGGCAGGCGAGCAGTTAGGGGTGATCAGGCAGGCAGAGTGGTTAGGGGCATTGAGGTAGGCAGGCGAGCAGTTAGGGGCGATCAGGTAGGTAGTAGAGTGGTTAGGGGCGTTGAGGTAGGCAGGCGAGCAGTTAGGGGCGATCAGGCAGGCAGGCAGGCGAGTGGTTAAGAGCCAGCGGTCCCAGATTGCAAGAGGATGCAGGCCCGGCTGAGGGAGACACCCCTGTCCCATGCACGAATTTCGTGCACCAGGCCTCTAGTCTACACTAATAAAAGACAAACATGCAAATTGACCGTACCTTTGCTATGCCTTAAGCCACGCCCACCAGCCAATCAGAGTGACTATATGCAAATTAACCCAACCAAGATGGCGGCCAGCAGCCACGGAGCTGGAGCAAGCAGGAGGCTTGCTTGCCCCAGCGATGGAGGAAGCCAAGCTTCCCGCCTGCCACAGCTGGCTCTGAGCTCCACTCAAGGCAACAAAGTTTCAGTTATAGAAGATGACTAAACCCCAGATACCTGCTTTCAGCTGGCCATGGCCACAGAGCTGGAGTGAGCAGGAGGTTTGGGTTGCGCCTGGCGATGGAGGAAGCCAAGCTTCCCGCCCCGCCTGGCTCTGAGCTCCACTACAGGCTACAAAGTTTCAATTATAGAAGGCAAATAAATCCCAGAATAAAAAAAATAAAATAAAATAAAGGAGAGGCTGGGAGCTTCCATCGCCAGGGGGCTTGGCCAGCCTGAAAACGGCCCTCAGCCCCTCACCCAGACTGGCCAGGCACCACAGTGGGAACCCCCACCCTGAAGGGGGTGTGACCAGCCTGCAAAGAGCCATTAGCCCCTCACCCAGGCTGGCCAGGCACACCAGCGGGACCCCCACCCTGATCCGGGTCACTCTTCAGGGCAAACCAGCCGGCCCTCACCCATGCACCAGGCCTCTATCCTATATAATAAAAGGGTAATATGCAAATTGACCCTAACAGCAGAATGACTGGTCACTATGACACACTGACCACCAGGGGGCAGATGCTCAATGCAGGAGCTGTCCCCTGGTCAGTGCACTCCCACAGGGGGAGCTCTGCTCAGCCACAAGCCAGGCTGATGGCTGCCAGCACAGCAGTGGTGGTGGGAGCCTCTCCCACCTCCTCAGCAGCACTAAGGATGTCCGACTGAAGCTTAGGTCTGCTCCCTGCTGGTAAGTGGACATCCCCCGAGGGCTGCCGGGCTGCCAGAGGGATGTCTGACTGCCAGGTTAGGCCCGATCCCCCAGGGAGGTGGACATCCTCCTAGGGGTCCCAGACTGCCAGAGGGCATAGGCCGGGCTGAGGACCCCACCACCACCACCACCAAGTGCACAAATTTTTGTGCACCGGGCCTCTAGTTGAAATATAAAAGCCCTTATTGAAGACAAGAGGACTAGAAAATAATAAGAATTGGAAATAATAAGAATTGGAGAATGTCAGTTTAGAAACGGTTATACTTGCCTGAGTGTAATGTGCATCTATATATATAAAAGCCTAAGTGACTGTTACGGCAGAACGACCAGCCGCTATGATGCACACTGACCACCCGGGGGTAGCCGCTCAACGCAGGAGCTGCCTCCAGTGCAGCCAGAAGCCGGTCTCATGGCTGGCAAGTGCAGCTGCCATGGTGGGAGCCTCTCCTGACTCCATGGCAGCACTACCAGGCAGTGGCAGCAGGCACAGCGGGCCAGAATGAGTGCGAGCGGTGTGGCACCCAGCCTTGATTCGGGCTCCTCCCTGGCTGCCTGCTGCTTGGTACACTGCTACATCCCCCAAGGGGTCCCGGACTGTGAGAGGAATGTCTGACTGCCATCTTAGACCTGATCCTGGTGACGTTCTCTGTAGAAGGCAGTTAGTCTGAACATCTCAGTGACTCGGGGAACTCAGGTGAGCCTGCCACTGCGCTTGACTCACCCACTCGATGGTGTTCGCAGGACAGACTGGTGGCCCAGCCTGTGTATGTGCAGCAGCTGCTGAAGCTCAAGCAGCAGAATATGCAGCAGCAGAAGGCCATCCAGCCACAAGCCGGCAGTTTGACATCCCCCGAGGGGTCCCGGACTGCAAGAGGGCACAGGCTGGGCTGAGAGACCTCCCATTCCCCCCCCCCCCCCACCCCCACCCCACCCCAGTGCACAAATTTCATGCACTTAGCCTCTAATAATGCAATAACGCATCACAAGTCAAGCATGGTTAAGCAAGCCCACCTTGACTTCTTGGAACTGTGACTCATACTGCTATTTTTTCCCTGCATCTTAAGATGTGGTGGGTTTTGGTTTTTCTCAACTGTCCCAATTTGACCGTAATCTCTTGAACTTAGATGACTTGTCAAACAATAAATTTAATATTTCCACTTCATTTATAAGTCAAAATGCCAGATGTTAGAAATCAGTGTTTTCCTCCCCTCTGAAGCTTCTGAAATTGTGTGTAAAATTGGTGTGTAGTATTCTTTTTTTTTTTTAAATATATTTTATTGATTTTTTTACAGAGAGGAAGGGAGAGAGATGGAGAGTTAGAAACATCGATGAGAAACATTGGTCAGCTGCCTCCTGCACACCTCCCACTGGGGATGTGCCTGCAACCAAGGTACATGCCCTTGACCGGAATCGAACCTGGGACCTTTCAGTCCGCAGGCTGACGCTCTATCCACTGAGCCAAACCGGTTACGGCGGTGTGTAGTATTCTATCTATACCTTTCTAAAGAGGGTGTATGTAGCTTTCATCAGATTCTCAAAGGAATATGTAACCTAAAGAGAGAAAGTGAAGAATCAAGGCCTTCGTTCTATAGCACTAAGGATCACCTTACAATTATTCCTTCTTCTCAGCTCTCTCAGCACTGAAATGTATATCATTCACTAATTAGTTTCAGAAACACTGAGTGCCCACTGTATGTCAAATCGTGGTTTGCAACGATACAATTAGACTTACTATCATGAAGAAGATCCTATTCTCTTTGGAGATAGTGACATTAAAATTTGAATGATTTTTTTTCAGTGGGATAAGGTGAAAAATGGAGGTTGCATAAACAAAAAATCCAGGCTGGGGCTGATGTGTAAATGTGTCCTAGTGGATATGTAAGGAATGGAGATGGTGAGAATCCGAGCAGTCCTCTGAGATAAGCATCATGAGCCTCGCTCACAGGAAGGGAGAGTAAGGAATTGGTTAGGTCCAGCGGTTCTCAACCTGTGGGTCGCGACCCCTTTGGGGGTTGAACGACCCTTTCACAGGGGTCGCCTAAGACCATCGGAAAACACATATATAATTACATATTGTTTTTGTGATTAATCACTATGCTTTAATTATGTTCAATTTGTAACAATGAAATTGGGGGTCACCACAACATGAGGAACTGTATTAAAGGGTCGCAGCCTTAGGAAGGTTGAGAACCACTGGGTTAGGAGCTCTGCAGAAATCCCACATCTGGTTAGTGATTTCTACTTTGATGAATGTGCAAATTTCCTGGAGAATTTATTAAAAGTGTATGTCTCATGAGTTTACACTCTAAAATCAAAATACGGTTTTTAACAGCATTCCAGTAAAATCATACATAAAAACCAGTAAGTGCGTGGTTAATTATAATCTGTGCCTACTTTTTTCCTTTCAGAATATGGCCCAGTTCTCTGTTTTATTACCAAGACATTAAAATATAGCATGACTTCCCAGAAGATAAGACTTTCTAATTCTAGTCATTTGGGGAATTCTTGCTTAATCTGAAAAGCTTTCGTGCCCTTGCCCGCTAAGGAAGAACATGTGCTAAGACCATGCCCGTGTGAAAGATGCCTTCCGAAAGACATGGACTGCTCCAAAAAACAGGGAAACAACTGACCAGTAAACATGTGAAAATTCCTAACCTGTAGAAAAAAGACAAGAAGATACCATTCACCCTTCCCCCATTAAATTCATAACAGTAACAGGTGGGAGGTGCAGTTTCTTATGTTGCCAAGGATATGAAGACAAAGTGGGACTTGGACTATTTATCAGTGGCACTGTAAATGTGTACAGTCTTTCTGGAGAGTGGTTTGGTAAATGTACCAAAAGGCTTAAAAACACTTAACACCCTTTTTGCTGGTTACTCTGCTCCTTTTATCTTTAAAAATTCATCTTTAAAAAATTAGAAATATGGTAGTGAATGATAACTGCAAAGAATTATGTGTAAAGAAGGATGTTTTATATAGTGCCAGTTTTAATAGCAAATATTCAAAACAATCTGAATATCCAAAAATTAGAGATAAATTATGGTTTAGCCCTAATTAGGTTATGAAGGGGCCAACTGAAGATCATGTTTTTATGTAATATTTAATGTCCTAAAGGATTGGTTGCTGTATAATATAAAATGAAAAAAACATGAGCATTTTACAGTACTGGTTTTGTTTTAGAATTCTACATAAATGCAAAAAAGACTAGGAAGACATAATCTTTTGTTATATTTTAGGGGTATATTGGATCATTTTAATTTTCTTTATACTTTTCTGTCTACACATTTTTTCTACATAATTATAATCAAAGAGTATAGTTGTTTTAAAAATAAAAATTACTGAGAAAGATCCAGCATTTAAATACATTATTTCTGGTAATGAAGCAAAAATTAAGATGGTAATAATAAAAGGAATTCTTTTTGAGTTCCATCTTTATTTTATATATATAAAAAAAGATCATTAACGACTTGAACAGTCATCGAGATACTTTGTTTGCAAACAACTTCGTGAGAAGAGCCGGGCAGTTAACACTGAGATAGTCTTAAGCTATCGAAAAGACTACATACACACATTATCGTGTGCCAGATATTTTTTAAATTAACATTTTACTGTTAACTTTAAAGGAATGGGTTTTCTTTTCTATCAGAGGCAGATCTTTTTTTCCTCAGGATCATTAATTTTCACTGTGGTCTATTATACAGGGTCCTTGAATGATATAGCTTTCGTCTGTTCAAAGAGTCTGTAAAGTCAGTGTGTTTGTGTCTATGAGACTGCCTTCAAGATTATAAGCTACTAATTGTAATTAAACAGTGAAATAAACCCGTTACCCTCCAGCATTAATATTGAGCTGTTTGGGTTACATGTGATTATGTCTTGGAATCGCTAATGCAGTGGTTTCAACTCTACTTGCACATTGGAGACCCACAAAGGACCCAGTGGATCTGAACCCAGGATTCTCTGGCTCCAACCAATAATTGTTTTCACTCCCCTGTAATATATACCACCCCGTACTTTCCCTTATTCTTAGATGTCTGAAGGTGTGAAGGTGAAAACATGGGCTTTTTTCTTGCTGCCTTCAGAAAGTACTGTTCTCTCCCACTTTCAGATACTTTTCTTAATCCAGTTGCCTTTTCTAGCAACCTCATTTCCAGACTTCACAAATGGACTATACTTGTTTTCTGTTACCCATCATTCATTGCTTATACAAAGCCTATCTAGTTTTCCTTAGACCTCATTCTTCAGAACTTTGACCATTTATTCTTGGTATGCTTCTCTCTCTCTCTTTTTAAAAAAAAAAAAAAATTAACATCGTGATCAGTTTTGAGCATTTGGAAGTGAATTATGTACATAATAGAAAAGTTCTAGCTTAGTGATTTAGGCCCTTGGAAGAATGGCCAGTTACAGGTTAGTACATCTGCATTAACTTACAAATCTTTATTGGTACATATTATGGGCTACTTATAATTTTCCTGATTTTGAGGATGGACAATCAGAATAGTTTATGCATAGTGTTAACCAAAAGAGTGGAGAAGGCTGGTATTGCAAGGTTACATTTGAGACCTAAGAATGTTTTGCAAATTAGCCTCAGTACTTCCTGGAGTTGTTTATACTAGGCAACTGAAAAATGTGCTTGATTTCATAGGTATTTGTTGGAGAGCACATTTTCATAGAATAAAAAAACACAAAAGCATTTGATGATTTCATTTGGGGAAGATTAAAAGGAAATTGTCAGTGTTTTCAAACTATGTCCTCAGTTTTATAGATGATTCAGGCTTAAAAAGTCCACACATTGGAATGTGATGACACATTCATAAACTGCCACTTTTGACCTCACTTTAGTTTACAGATGCCCCCTCCCCCCAATAAGAATCAAGATTACAAGGCTAACGCAGTAATAAGAAAGCCATTTCCAAATATATACAAATCACCCAGCTTCAAGAATTATCTCAGCCATTGTCTTCTAAACTCCCACTCCCTAGCCTCCTCCCATGTTATTTTGAAGCATTCCTCATATCACATAATTTAATCCATGAATATTTCAATGTTACTTCTAAACAATATTTTTAAGATAATCACAAAACCATTAAGACGAAAAAATGAATAAAAATTCCTTAATGTCATCAAATATGTAGTGGATATTCAACAGTTCAGATGTTTCATAAATGCCATTTTTTACACATCGTTTATTTGAAACAGGATTCAGTTACAGGTCATACATTGCAAGTGGTTGACATGCATTTTGTTTTCATCTCTGTTCCCTCACCCTCTTACTGACTTTCCCTTTCTCTTCCCCCTCCTTACCTTTTATTTTTCACATTCTCTCTCCTCTTCTTACAGTTTATTTGGTGAAAGAAATCCAGTTTGTCCTTGAGAGTTAAATATAATCCAGATTCTTGTAACTGCATCCCCATAGTGTAACATAATCCTCTGTCTATATTTCCTCTAACTTGATAAATTGAATCTAGACTTTTTTTTTCAAGACTACTTTAGAGGAGGTGGTATGTTCTTCCATAGGAGGGACATAATATCTCATCTCTTGGATGTTAGCAGCCATCAGCTTTGGATGCCTTTATCCATTAATTTAGTGAGTTGCAAAAAATTATTCCAGTTCAAAGTTACCTTCATGTAACCCCTGAAAAGTAAGGTGACAGCCTCCCTGTTTGAATTAAGATTAAAAACAATATACACAGAAAGAGCATTTCATACAATTGAAGCCATTAATAGCAAATAAACAAAATCCTGTAGAATTTAAAAATGGATCAGATATACTAGTATACTGTGAAACATATTTGATAAATAATTAGGAACAAAGCCACATGAAGAAAAAATAAACAATGAGACTACCTTAAAATACTAGGCAGATTTTTTGTTGTTAATCCTCACATGAGGATATTTTTTCCATTGATTATTAGAGAAGGGGCAGAGAGAGAGAAGCATCAATGTGAGGGAAACACATTGATTGGTTGCCTCCCGAATGCACCCCGGCGAGGGCCCAGAATTAAACCTGCAACCCACATGCCCTTGACCAGTAATTGAACCTGCAACCCTTAGGTGCTTGGGCTGATGCTCTAATCACTGAGATACTGGCCAGGACTAGGTGGATTTTTGAAACAACTAAATGGGCCCTAGCCAGTGTGGCTCAGCTGGGTGGGTGTCATCCTGAGCACTGCAAGGTTGCCGACTTGATTCCTGGTAGGGGGTGTGCAGGAGGCAGCCATTCTCACATTGATGTTTCTCTCTCCTCAAAAAAAAAAAAGTCAATACAGAATTTTTTTAATGTTAAATTGAAAAAATAAATACTACTGATGAAAATTTGAATTTAAAATATAATCAATAAAACTAAAAATCTAGAATTATTCAGAACATTACAGTTGGAGAGGAAAATTGATGAGGTGGATTAGGAACTCAAGAAAAAAACCAAGATGTATAGAGAAATAGAGATGAAAATATGATAGCTGGAAATGTAAAATATAGCACAAGTTCTAACAAATCTTATTAAAGGGAATACATGTTCCAGAAAGAGGAAATAAAGAAAATGAGGGATGTGACTGAGTTTAGCATGAGGAACTCGACTCACCAGCAAAACTCCTGAAAATTGTTTTAAAACAATCAGGTAAAATCTCAATATGGTTGAAGAATATATGGCAATTAAAGAAACACATATTCAAGAAAATGTATAACATTTTATAAGAACAGTGAGAGTGTGGAATTTGAACTGAAATCACTTCTCCCAACTCAACAAGATGGGAACCAGACTGGTGCAGCCAAGGACACAGGGCCCCACCTCCTTCAGCTCCCAGGATGTCAGTATTTCTCATCCTGCTGCCACCTGTTCCTGAAGCTAACTTATGGTCAAGTGTAGGTGAGAGGTGGGGTTTCTCTTCTGCCTAGCCACCAAGGAGGTTCTACACTGAGCGGTGCTGCTAGCACTGAGTGGTGCTGCTAGTAATATGGGGGCCCCAGTCATCTTTCTGCTGGCTGGTTAGACAGTGATTCCATCCTGGGAGAGTCAAGCAAATCAGAGCTAAAGGTGCTGTCCCCCACCACCACCCCTGAGCACTCAGCCACTAAACTGGAGAAGTTTGCCATTGTCCCCACCTCCAGCTCCATAGGCATAACCAGAGGTGTTGCCTGGAGAGAGAGCAGGCCATACACCAGAGAGCTCCTTTTCTTTTCCTAAAGGAACTGGTTTCATTTGAAACACTAAGGGTGCTCTCAAAAAGTGGAAGTTGTAGGGAAGGGCAATTGGGTACGATACTGGTAGAATCATTGGACATATAAACTAAATTGTAGGCTGGCTCATTTGCATGAGAGAACCTGGGAAGGACATAGTTGGGAGGAGACTGGGGCCAGAACAAATCTCAACTGATTTTCAGAATTATCCCTTAAAAGGAGTCTGAATTTCATTGGTTTATTGGTGAGCAATTTTTGCCTCGGGCATTATCTACACTAATAAAAGACAAAGATGCTAACTGACCATAGCTTTGCCACACCCACCAGCCAATCAGAGTGACTATATGCAAATTAACCCAACCAAGATGGCAGCTGGCAGCCACAGAGCTGGAGCAAGCAGGAGGCTTGGTTGCCCCGTCAATGGAGGAAGCCAAGCTTCCCAGCCAGCTGTGGCCTCCGCAAAAGGCAACAAAGTTTCAATTATAGAAGCTAAATAAATCCCAGATACCTGCTTCCAGCCAGCCTCACTGGGAGCTTGGGTGGCTGGGGGCTGTGGCCAGCCTGCAAACAGCCATCAGCCCCTCACCCAG